AAACGTTACAATATACAAATAAATAAATAATAAGATCAATAAAAAGGAAGAGAATAAAAATATTAACAAATTTTAAAGCATACAATGACTTTCCTAAAAACAAAAAAATCAGTATTACTCCAAAGAATATTTAGGTAATTTATCCTTCTCTCGTCAATCCCGGTTATTACGCCATGGCAACTACTCCACTTGACACGGTCTTCATTGCTAAAAGTACTCTCCCGAAAGCCGTAAGTAATTTATAATGAAAAGTATGGCACCAGCAAAAAAGAATAATTTATTTTGGAAAGGGTTACGGAGCATTTGCCGCTCGTCGGATCGCAAAAGACACTTATTTTAGTCCTTACGGCGGTCTCAAACATAATGATAGTGTCATTGCGGAAGAATGCGGCTATGCTTGGACTGTAAGAATGAAAGTAGCTCAGTATTTATCTATTTATGTATGCATAGATTACAAACGATTTGGGTGAACCGATTTATTTCGTTGATGCATGCGATCCAAACAACTCGAATTGGCTTCGATTTGTTAACAGTGCGAACAATGCTCGTCAACAAAATCTCCATGCAATCATGCGTAAGATAACATTTATATATAATTTTTTGATTGAACTGCTCATCTGTTGTCGTTTGTATAGATCTTGGCGAAATTTTCTATATAACAACACGAAATATCGATGCAGGAGAAGAACTTTTAGTCTATTATGGGCATGCTTTCGCCGAGTTACTTGGTTCTAATGTAACGGACTTCTATTAAGTCCTATATGGAAAATTGACTCAGTGAAAACACGTCACGAAAATTTTTATTCATGGGGAAGAAGACAGTCTAGGATTCTAAGCTGTAGTTTAGTTTAAAACATAAAACTGATATCTATTTTAGCTTTTCTCAAAGTAGGACACGAGTATGGTTGTGGGTACTTAAATCAATTGAAAAACAGACCAACCTATCTCTTAACAAAAAGACAAGTACAATCCGCTAGTCTCAACTCTTGATTTTCAGCAATCTACTAAGCCGAAAATAAAATAAATAACAATAGAATAAAAAATAAATAAATGTGCTTGAATTAAATATGGTTTCAAAGCATGCAGAGTTTATTTCCTCGATTCGTTTCGTGTTATTTACTAGAATATTAAAACACTCATCAGGGCTCTACATTTACAATTATAAGTACAAAAACAAAAATTTCAAGTGTAAACTAAAATTCAAATAACTAAAATTGAAAATAAAGGAGAATATAAGAGGCATACAATGAGAAGCACATCAAAAATTGAACTAAAACTTGTTCGAATTATATGGCCAACTATTTTAACAACAGCTTGTTATTTTATAAGTTAAATTGATTTTATTCTTAAACTGCCATTCATAAATATATTCAATGTTCAATAATAAGAATATAGAGTGTGGATGTGGGTGTGGGTGCGCCAAGAGGAAAAAGCAGATTTTAGCATTCAAAATCTCTAAAATCTCTGAAAATCTTTTGAAACCTTTCGAAATCTTTCGAAATCTTTTAAAATCTGCTTTTTCCCCCTTGCTAAACCTACACCCTCCAACTTAGACATAATAATTTTCTTTCTTCAATGCTATTTGTGACTGGTGTATATATTCTGAAACTAAGTTTTGATGATTTTTCATGGATCATCTCCGAATGGGCGTATAAAATCGTTTTATTTAAGTGTTTTAGATGTATTTAAATCTTTTAAGAAATTTTATGTACTCGGTGAGAGGAGAACCAGTTTTTAAATAATCATTCTTTATTTCATGATTATTCTCAACATGGTGACTAAAAAGAAATGCCGATTAAAGCAAGATTGACAACTAGAGGAAGATAAGCATCTATAATATTCTCTTTTATTTTTCTATAATAAAATGAAACACTTGGTAATTTTATCTTTGGCATGTTAACTAGTAGAGTTCAAGATACGTTTAAAAATGAAATCCGAAGAATAGAAGACTGTTGATCAATAATTTCTCTATGCCTGCTTTAGTTCAAAACTAGTTCATTGTTGTGCACTTGGACTTTTCAAACATGTCCATGATTTCTATTGATGATTTTAGAATACTTCATCTACAACGACTTAGAACAACGAGTCTTAAAAAATAATACAATCTATTCCGAAGAACTTTGATAAATTTCGTTAAATTCGTCTAGTGGGTGTGGATGTCTCTGCATTAAACCCACAGCCACAGCCACACCCCACACTCACACCGACACCCTACACCCACACCCTGCGAATGGTTGGGAATGGATCAGAATGGATGGGAATGTCCGAATAGTCTTTTCCACTTTGGTCAAATATATATAGGGTGTCCGGAAAGTCCTTAGAGTTAGGAAAATTTGCATATCTCCTTTACAGCTCGACCAAACGAGCTCATTTTTTTTACCAAAGATAGAGGCATGTTCACACTCCAAATTCATATGGACAAGGGTATTCAGAATCTTTCTTAAGTATCACTATTGACCTCAACAAGAAAATTTTACTGTTTCACAGTTAGGAAAAAAACAATATACAGGATAGAGCAAAAGGCACTTTATTGAAAATACAATTGACTATCTCCACTATGGCTTGAGCAAACCAGCTGATATTGTTACCAAGGATAGAGGCATATTCACACTTCAAATCCATACTGATAAGGTTAGTGAGAACCTTTGTTAAGTATATGGTTTTTCTCCTTCTCTGTGAAACAGTAAAATTTTCTTGTTGAGGTCAATAGTGATACTTAACAAAGATTCTAAATACCCTTGCCCATATGAATTTGGAGTGTGAATATGCCTCTATCTTTGGTAAAAAAAAAGAGCTCATTTGGTCGAGCTGTAAAGGAGATATGCAAATTTTCCTAACTCTAAGGACTTTCCGGACACCGTATATATGTAACGGGTGCGGCAGAATAAATGGCGGTCTCAATATTTTGGCTACAGCTTTTTTTCTTTGTGTTTTTTAGAGCTGATTGTTTTTCCAAAAGATGCGCCGTCAATTTCTCTACGAAACCGTAATCAAACTAATTCCTGAAGAAGGTTAAGGAAAACAATGAAACGAAGATTATCGAATATATAAAAAGTACCCAACTTTCTAACCTAACATGTGTCCTATGAATGGCCGGAGCTGATAACTCTTTTTTTTTCATCATCTAGTTAATCGATTTTTAAAAGAAAAGTATACTAGAAGATGCAGCGTGAAAAGCTCTACACACTAAAATAAAATGTGTCGCATATATGTGTCGTACAAGAATGTGTCGCAGACTCCATTTTAAAAATGTGTCGTACAAAAATGTGTCGCATTATAGATGTGTCATAGCCTATATGTCAATTGTTCATTCACCGATTTGTTTCGTGAGTGCAGCCGCATATAACCGAGCCTATTGGACGTACTTGGCTTATACATTTTCGTATGTCTTTTTTTCTAGATTATTTCTCGACCATTTATTATTCGAGAACATGTCGAGAGGTCGCTAGATGATCGAGAATGGACTGCCTCGAAGTAGTCTGATCGAGATCAAATGGTCTCGAGGCAGCTAGATCTTAAGATCTACCGTCTCGAACTCCAAGAATAGGTGCTACTGTTTGAAATTAACTGAAAAAATAGTAACTATTCGAATTTTCAAAAAAAAATAATCCTCGTGCCGAAAAATGGATCTGAACCACGTGTTAAAAATGTGTCGCATGTGTCGCACAAGAATGTGTCGCACGTTCGCTGGAAGAAATGTGTCGCAACGAGCTCCTCATGTCGCATATTAATGTGTCGTACATTGTGTCGCAAAGTGCGACACATGCGACACATTTTATCTTAGTGTGTACAAGTTACGTTAAAAATCTTATTTTATATGTGCACTCTTTTTAATCAAAATTGACAAAATTCTATGCGACCAATTTTCAACACTGCGAACAGAATCATTTTTTGATACACTACGAATTCGTTTGCTCTTATTTTCTCTTTTTAATATCTAATACGTTTTATTAAAATAAAACAAAATATACCACAAGATGCACCGTGAAAAGCTCCACAATTTACAAACGACAATTTATGTTATGTTTATGTACCTTTTGTTTTTTTAAAATAAGCAAAGTTCCCTGCAACCAATACATGATCTTTCCGCAGCATGGAAAATTGGTCGGATGAAGTTTCGTCCACATTGAAAAGATAGCGTATATAAGTTTTTAATGTAACTTGTAGAGCTTTTCACGCTGCATCTTCTAGTATACTTTTCTTTTAAAAATCAATTAACTAGATGATGAAAAAAAAAGAGTTATCAGCTCCGGCCATTCATAGGACACATGTTAGGTTAGAAAGTTGGGTACTTTTTATATATTCGATAATCTTCGTTTAATTGTTTTCCTTAACCTTCTTCAGGAATTAGTTTGATTACGGTTTCGTAGAGAATTTGACGGCGCATCTTTTGGAAAAACAATCAGCTCTAAAAAACACAAAGAAAGAAAGCTGTAGCCAAAATATTGAGACCGCCATTTATTCTGCCGCACCCGTTATTTTATTTACAATTGTGTGAAGTTATATTTTATACTGAACATTCATTGGGTAATACCTAGTCCAGAATAATAAATTTCACATTTTATAGCTTTCTTCAATGTGCTGAAAAACTAGAATTACGAAATTGAAAATAGGCTTGTACTGGATTGAGTTTAGCACTATGATCTATGACACTTACGATTTTTAAAATAATATTAACTTTATGATCAGAGTAAAAAAAAATAATTAATTTGAGCTTTGCTGAGTGAATGGTGACAGAGGATATTAACAACAGAAAGATAAGATGATCAGTCAGTGTTTTTTTCATTCCTTTTTACATTATCCATTTTCACATAGATACTCAACATCAAATGGTAACGTGTGAAAGATGAGACGTAAACAAAAAACAATAAAGTCATCTAACACTTTATCTATCGTTTACCTCGAATTGTTTTATCAATTAATTGGATAAAACGTTAGATCACTTTTTTTTTCTACTCGTATATAAACTTCGACCTAAGACAAAAAAACATATTTTCAACATGTTACAAGTAGAAAATCCAGCCGCCTTTCGACATTATATAGATGAACCAACAGAAAATGATAGTATTATTGCTCAACGAGTATTTAATACATATAAACAAATGCATACATATCAATGTGTAGATTTTGTTCGTAAACAACATGATCGTTGGTTAAAATTTGATCATGATCGTATGACGATTTATCAAGCATTAGAAAAATTAAATGAATTTGTTGATGAAAGTGATCCTGATGTTGATGTACCAAATATCTATCATGCATTTCAAACAGCTGAAGCTATACGAAAAGTATATCCGGATCAAGATTGGTTCCATTTAACTGGTCTTATACATGATTGTGGAAAAGTTTTAGCATTGTATAATGAACCACAATGGGCTGTTACTGGTGATACATTTCCTGTTGGATGTCAATTAAGTGAAAAAATTGTTTATCGTAAAAATACATTTGAAAATAATCCAGATTTAAATCATCCAATTTATTCAACAAAATATGGCATGTATACACCAAATTGTGGTCTTGATCAATGTATGATGGCATGGGGACATGATGAATATCTTTATCGTGTTTTGACTAATCATCCAACATGTACATTACCGGATGAAAGTTTGTATATCATACGATATCATTCATTTTATCCTTGGTATGAGATCTTTTTTCGAGTTGCTGTTTGTTTTTTTTTTTTTTTTTAATTTTTTTAATCTTTTTAGGCATACAGGTAATGATTATATGTATTTGTGTAATGAAAAAGATCTTCGTATGTTGGAATCGGTTCGTCGTTTTCAAAAATTTGATTTATACACAAAAACTGATCATGATTTACCAAATATTGATGAACTTAAACCATATTATTTATCGTTAATTGAAAAATATATTCCAGGTCTTGTTGCCTGGTAAATTTGATTAATTCTTTATATAATTTTCGATGATTCATTTGATTTATTCGAATAAATAAAAGAACAAAAGAAAAGACTTATGAACCAGTGGCGTAGCCAGAGGGGACCAGGGTGGGCTCAGTCCCGTCCCCCTACGAAGTTTTGAGCTTCCTCGAGCAATAAGTAACATTCATCAACATTGCATGTTGATTCACTGGCCCTAGACTAACGAAATGATGATACAGATGTCATGATGTTTTTAGTAAAAATGAATTCTGTTTAATAATGAGTTTAGGACGCATTAATATTTGCGAACTGTTGTATTTTACATACTACAGATATATTCAAACAGTTGACCTGAAACATTGAAAGATGCTAATGTATATGATAAAGCATATGCCTTAGTTGATTGTGATGACTAGTAATGCTGATTTGTGCTATAGTGCTGGCTATTCCTAATATGGATATAGCTACTTGTGACAGAGACATGCTCATTCTAGCGGTAAGAATGATCAACTATGAGAAAGAAATGGTTCATTGTGCCGTGGAAACTGAGTTTAGCCACAAAAATGAACAATTATGCCAAATGAATGACTGCTTTTACCACGACACATGATACTTTGCACTATGACAACAGTCACTTGCACCATGACTATGGTACTTTGTATCATGACAACGGTCACTTGTACCACGACTAATGGTGCTTTCTACCGTGACAATGGTCACATATACCACGACCAATAGTGCTTTGTACCATGAAAATGGTCGGTTGTACCACGACTATGGTACTTTGAACCTTGATAACGGTCACTTGTACTGTGAAAACGGTACTTTGTACCATGATAACGGTCACTTGTACCACGACTAATGGTGCTTTGTACCACGGAAATGGTCATTCGTACCATGGAAATGGTCACTTGTACCATGATAAGGTGTGGGTGTGGATGGTGTCGGGGGGGGGGGGGGGGGGGGGTGTGGATGGGTGTGGGTGTCGGTGTGGATGGGGTGGTGGTGGGTGTGGATATGCATATCCGATAGAAGTACATCTACACCCACACCCTTATTGATGGAAACCATTTGAAGAGACACATTATTAATCGTATGTTACGCTTAAATCAATTCACATTTTATATCAGTTCATCGATGTCTATTGATAATAAAATGCATTTGCCATCGAGAGAAGATATTCAACGCACATTCATTGACTTTACAAATAATGAAATTATTTCTTATGTTGATTATTTTCCAGAGGCAAGCATACTCGATGTCATATTTACTCATATCCGCCTTTTATGTCATATTATGGTGATATTACAAATAATTTTTCAGGTAGATTATTCAAATATGTTCGTGTAGTGTCATTATATGATGAATATCCTTTTGAACATCAATTTTTTCTTCGAATTGTTCAATCATTTCCATACATGGGACAGGTATCTGTGTTTAACCGTAAATAGCAAAATTGTAAATAGTCTTATGAATTAAGCAATGGTAATCAGAATTTATCTGTTATTGAATATTTTTTTCTTAGTGAACTTCGTAGTATCAATGTTTATGATGATTATATAGAAGAATTCCTATTTGATACTAAAACGTGTTTGCCAAATAATGTTATTCTTTATATCAAGTATGAATCTTTACAACGAGTGATATACAATTTCATAAGAGATGTTACACGAATTAATTGTGCCAAAATAGTTAAATTATATTTATTTGGTAAACCACAACATTCAAATTCTTTACAAGAATATTTTCTAAATGCAAAAATACGCTTTCTTCAAATATTTGAATGATGAAAAAAGAAAGATATTCAATTAAAAGAAAAGAAAATAAGAGTAAATTGTCTTGTCTAGTGTTGGAAGAAAATAAAATCTATATACTTAGGGCAAACCAAAAGTCTTTACGGAGCTACATCAATTTCTTACAGAATGCTTGAAGGACTTTTCTTTTTATATAGACTGATAGTAAAAATAAAGCTCTACATTTATATACTATTTGATCATTATACATCTAATATCATACTAATAAAATTTCCATTAGACTTGTTTAGCTATGATATGTAACAATAACATAAGTCTATATCGTCTGTAATGTCAGTGTGGGTTTAGATGCGGTTGAGTGTGAGTGTGCGGGTGATTCTGTGTTACGCTCACACGTGAAGCCCACACTCACACCCTACTGGTATCTCAAAGCTCGAAATAGATAACATCTTTCATATTCTCCATGATGCATAACGTTATCTGGTTTGAGTATTGTGCCTAGCTTGAAGGTGTGCGTGTTTGCGGTGAATTTAATATTCTCACATCCACACTTTCCAGCCCGATTGATACAAGGGGACACGGCAAACTCACTGACTTCAGGGGACTCCACTGATCTTGACAGTCCTGGAGTCCGTGATTTCAGAAATTTGCTGCTATTCGCAGACAATTATGAGACATAAAAAATATGATATCAATGAACAAACAGATAGAATTGGGTGGATGTGGGTTTCGGTGAATCTTCTTTTTCTTCTCAAATCCACACCCACACTCACTGCCAATGACATACTACTTAGAGAAAATAATGCTAATAGATTTAGTGAATAGTTTGTGTCTGGATAAATAAATATTATGTATGAAAAAAATTGATAAGAGTTCAAATCTAAGGAAACTGTTTGAGAGGTATTCTTGAGTCAAACCAATCTGTTCGAATAAGTAGCCTTTAGATAATGATCTTTTCAGCAGTTGTCGTGATAAAAACTGAACTATTTCTAGAGTTTTTGTGGCAAGAATTGACCGATCCAAAATTAGCATCTTTCCTTCTATCAGGTGTGTCCCCTATAAAAATCGATAATGTTTACAATTAAAATATTGAAATAACATCTTGTTTTGTGTTTTATATTAAGATAAATGAACTATTCATCTATACAAATTAGTATTAAAAAATGGTTTGTTTATTTGCTACGATGAACTTACAAAACAACTGATAGATAATTGTTGGTTTTTCGTAGGTAATGAATGCTCGCTCTTTACAAGATGATCAATATTGATCTCATTGGAAGACTGATGTGTTAGAAAAACAATTTTTAAGAAGATTTGCTTTATAGAATATTTTATTTCGATAATTTTTAAATATTCACCGAACAGAATTGAATAAAAATGTAAATGAATATTTTATTATACATATGATTATTGTTTGTTTTTTTTATTGTATTCAAACTCAATAAATCTACATTATCAAATATCTGTGTGTTTCATATTTCAATGAACTTATTATATTTTTTCTATTTATTTTTAGAAAATATCAAACAAAGTAAAAAAAAAATATAAAGTAAAACATACGTTAGAAATAAATAAATATTAATCTATTCAATAAACTACATAGCTTCCATTTGATATAAACTTTAGCTTTAGAGAATTTATGACTGCATTTGCAACTCTACAGAAATTTTTTTTCAATGTTAATGATACATCTTTTCAAAATGTAAACATATCGATTTTTGTTAGTCTATTAATTTATCTTATACAAGCATTACTTAAACTTCTTAAATTAAAACTTCACTCCTTATAATTATTATTACAAGAACAAAATTTATTTAGGAAAGAAGTAGATATTCTTATCAAGCTTTGTCCTAAAATGAATTATTTACAAATCAATAATATTGATGTTGAAGTATTTCTAAAAGAAATGGTGAAAAAATGAGATCAACTATGAAAAACTATTTGTTGATTATATAATTAAACGTGTTTATGATAATATCCATCTACAATGGCAATACTTTGATTTGTTATATACCTTCAAACAATATCATAGATTTTTAAGATAGATAATACACAGAAGATCAAAGGATACAGATTGATTAAATAACTTCTCTCAAATTTACAGAGTCATTTGATTGTATATAATGTTAAATGATCGTTATAACTTTGTTTCCCTTCTTTTTTTATCTATGGTTTTTTTCTATCGGACGTTGATCTTGACGTCCTATTCTTCTTTTGTCTGAGTAGCATATTTTAAAATCTTCGAAGTTAAGGATTAATTTCATAAACAAACTCATTCAATCTTGGTTGAGAAATAAATATGAATCAATTTCAGCAAAAACTGAGTTCTAATGAGTTATCAGAAGAAAAAACAGAAATTTCGCAGTAAGTTATTCGCCTGGTGGATATAAAGTAATTTATATTTCTATATTTTATTGTAATAGATGAATTTGATCAATTTATGACTTGTTTTGAAGATCTATCAAATGAATTATTATGTGAAGTATTTGATTATCTTGATGGACATGGTGGTTTATATAAAGCATTTTCAAATCTTAATTCTCGATTTGAAGAACTTGTTCGTTCTTTATCTGTTTTGTTTAAAACTCATTGTTATTTGATTAAACTTGATCAAGTTACAGTGCTGCCACCTTTTGAAGTCCGAAAAGCAGAAAATACTTTGCAAAAAGCAGAAAATAACAGAAGTTTTATTATCGAAAAGCAGAGAGACAGCAGAAAATATGTTTATGATATGAAACTAACGAGTAGCTCGTAATAAAAGAGGATCTCAGTATTTTGTTAACATCTTAATTGTTATCTTATCGCTCACGCTTTATTTTTTTTGTCAAAAGATTCACGGTCTGCTTCTGCACAAATTGCATATTTCGTTATGAAAATACTTATTTCTTTTTCTTTCGACATCACAACGATTGAAAAAACCGCACTATACACAACTTTGAAAATCTCTATTTTTTTCAATTTTTTCCGAAAACATTCAGTCCTTAGATTAGTCTTATTATCATTGGTTGTGCCATACTCTTTATCCAGCAATAAAATAACTTGCCTTTGGTACGTTGATTGAAATGAACCAATTTATCTCTTAAGGGGCAAACAAATTATACCCAAAATAGCAGAATTAATTGAAAAACTGGACATTTCGGAAAAAAATTGAAAAAGATGAAGACTTTGAAAGTTGTGTGTAATGCTTGTTTTAAATCATGATGATGTTGAAAGAGAGATAAGTGTTTTTTACAGCGAAATATACCAATTTCTGCAAAATCAGATAGCGAATCTTTCGATAAAAAAAAAATAAAGCGTGAGCGATAAGATAACGCTTAAGATGTTAACAAAATACTGAGACCCTCTTTTATTACGATCTACCCGTTAGTTTTAAATTTTAGTTTCAGCGTACTAATCACTCACATTGTATGGTATCACCGAACACAACTAATTAACAAATAGACAGAATCATTGAACGCGTTTTCTTTGTAAAGAGTATTCTTCATCTGATTTAAGAGCTTTTGACAAATCTTTTTTACCTAATAAATATTTATCCATTACAGTATACGATAAAGAGAAATTCAAAATAATTGTTGATTAAATCATAGCATTTAAAATTTTTTTGTTTCTTATTGTTCATAGGATTATCAATATTAACTTTTTGTTAGCAATGTTCAGAATACTATTGATGACGAACGATAAATGTTAGTTGAGACGGATCAAATTTATATTCTTTTAAAGATTATTAATATTCGACGACTTTGAACGATTCTCTGTTGAAGAGAACTCTATTCAATTTCTGTTTTCTGGTTTAACTCCTGATGACATAATTATTACTTCAGCAACTGCCACTGCTTTGTGAATACCTTCTTCGCTAGTCGAGTTGTTATTATCATCTAGAGCTGTTTTTTCTGTTCCTTTTCTCTCAATAATCATATTAATTATTCATGTTCATTGAGTAAACAAACGAAAGAATGTATATGTTGATGTACATGAATTACATAAGTAATTAAAATACGATAGAAAACTATAGGTAAAGAATTGATTTAAAGCCAAATATATAGGTTGGTAGTTGTTTGTAGTCAGTAGAAAATAAAAATCATCTGTATCAAATACAAAGAATTAGAATGGCACAAAAATATCAGTAGTTTTTGATACGGTGTTTTTAAATAATTAAGGAAACGAAGGTATTTCAGGCGAAAAATGTTGATTGAAATAATAAATAATGCCGTATCAAAAAAAAGCAGAAAATTTTTGAAAAAGCAGAAATGACAGAAAAAAAACAGAAAAAACTCCAAAAAGCAGAATTTTTCTGCTAAAAGCAGAAGAGGTGGCAGCTCTGTCAAGTTATTAACATATTTAAACAATTTATGTTTACCAATCGCCATCAAATATTTTCTTTGCATGTAAATTTTATAATACGCAATAGTTGTTTTTTTTCGTCGTTTTTATTTGATTCATCATTTGATCGTCTTGAATCTATTATTTTTGAAAAAATTTACTCCGATATACTTATTCCGATTCTGAGCAATTTATCTTCTTTATCACATCTTGTCTCATTAACCATCGAAACATCTAATGTTCAAAAAGAAATCAATGATATCTATCGATTGATATTTGTCTTACCTAAATTGAAATATTATCGAATTTCCTTTTCTAATAATTGTAATTCAATTACACTTCTACTGGCTATAAATAATCAATGCAGTCCTACAGAATATTTTGTTATTGATCATTATTGTTCTTTGAATGAATTTGTATCTTTTTTTTCTTACACACCAAAACTTCATCGTTTAACTGTTCATAAAATAAAAGCGAATGATTCAAATATTACAATATTATCATCAATTACATTAGTTAATCTAAATTCGATTTATTTGGATTTACATCAAACAACATTTATTGTACTGAAAGCATTCATTACAAAAACATTTCTCATTTTAAAAATTTTATTTATTGTTTATTCAGACGATATCACTTTTATTGATGCTTATCGATGGGAACAATTCATTTTGAATAGTTTTTCTCAGTTAGAAAAATTATATTTCGTATATCATGATCTTCTTCATCATTTAGGATTGAACGGCAATGGCTATTTGAATCCAAAATCAAGGATACTGATGTCGAATATATAATTCGTCCCTACAGGTATATAGAACAATAATTCCGATAATAAATTAATTTTTTTTAGTAAAAGATGGTATGATGATACAGAAGAGAATACTATTAATCGTTATTTTAAACATTCTACATTTACTAATCTGACAATTCGAATGTATTCCTAGTTCTATGTTCGAAGAAGTGATGCCCAAAGAGATGGAACGTGTTTTAACAATAACAAAAATTTATCACTTGGAAATTCTCGAAAAAAAAAGTCTCAATTCCTGCATTGATTTCACAGATCTCATTCAGCAAAGATATAGGAAAATCAAATCTCTTTAAATAAGGCACACCACTTGTTAACATTTCGCACCAATTTTGTCAATCAGTGAAATTCATAATAAATGGTGAAATATTCTGATCAACAAAAAGTGTAAAAACAAATTGATCAAGTTTTGTCATACAATGAAGAATAAGACCAATTGAATGAATATTACATTGAGCCATAACTATTTTTAAATCGAATGATTTTAATAATGATGATAACGGAAGATTATTTTCATTAATAAATGGAAGATGAGGCACACCCAGAAGAAAGAGATACATATTTTTTTATGCTTAAATAAATTAAGGGATTTAAATTATTTACAAATTAATATATAGATTTACTTTAACCTGTGCCACATATGTGTAATTTTGATTGTCACACAAAGAGTTCGCAATGCACGATGAATACAAAGTAAATGAATAAAAGAATAAATCGATATCTCATTTAATGTGCCACAAAAATAATTTGCAAATGTTAGAAATTTGTTGTAACTATTGATATTATTACAATTTGAGAATGATTATACTGGAAATAAAGACCAGTGGAGCGAAGCGTTTCAGATGTATCTATCAAAATCAATTGACTAAACTCAGATGTATCAGATCTATTAAGGGTTGTGGGTCTCGGTAGTTTCTTATCTTTATTCACACCCACACCCAAGAAGATTTGCGTCTATATTACATGTACAGTCGCTTTTTTTGCTTTTTTGATTTATTTAATCATGTTTTTTTTACTTCACCACGTTGTTAATTGACTTTTTGATTAGAATTACATCGATACAGACATACTCAACGCCTGAATCATATCCAGAATTGCCACATCCTAGTCACAGATATCCCAACACATTTATTTTCATGACCTTATATAGTGTGTATAAGTATGGACGACCAGGAAATTTGTACAAATACACAACACTATACATTTTCAAAGTGGTTCTGCCCTGCCTTATGACCAACTATGTTCTAGTTTCGTTTCGTCTATGTATATGTAGTATTCATCTTGTACAAAGATGAAAAAACCCAACATTTGTATTTTAGTCAGTTATTCTCTTCTGTTTCGTGAATCTGTTCTTCTCTCTACAAAAACTACTGGTTATATTCTGCCTATTTGCTTTTATTCTGAATGCTATGTCAAAAGGAGAGAAAGAAAATTTAGAGCCTCGAGCATTTTTAAGAAGAACATAACAGAACGCCTCGCACGAACTGATGGCGAAAAACAACATTTTTGTACGTTTACTACGACGAATTCGCTTTTTCGTTACACCAATCACATTGAAGTTGTTTGAGTCTTCTACGCAAATAAATAATTGCACAATCATGATGAAAGTTGATAACGCATTCGAATAAACAAGTTGGCATAGAGAAAAAAGTTTTAACAAACATTCATCTCAGCAACGTATCTTGTATCAAAGCAAGAAACATTCATGTCTGACAATATTACTTACTCTCTCTTGTCATTACCTATCGAGGTGGTTTACCGTATTCTGGACAATCTTAATGGATTCGAGCTTTTGTGCTCAGCTCGTAATGCTTGTACGAAACTCAATACAATCATTGATACTTATCTTCGATATCAGGTAAATTTTATTCTTATTATTAATGGAGTCGGATATTTATCGTTATCAAGATATCATTCAATTCAGTTAATGATTATTTTCTTTTAACTGTTGATTGTATAATAGCAAAACTTGAAAGGCAATATTTCGAGTTTTACCAAAATTATGGACATGTATATGTACGTGCAGTTGGATTTTCATAAGTGTGAGTGAAGAGAAGACTTATATCCATTTACATTTTCATCGTTATTTCAATGAATACATATACTTTTTTGTTCAAACTTGTGCATCAGTTGATACAAGAATCATCATTTTTCAGGACAAATCTGACTTCTGATAGTATAACTTTTCATAATAAACGCCAATAAAACTCCAAGTTTTAGATCGAAACTTTCTTCTTCAGAAACAAGTATCCAGAACACGTTTAGGTTGTGCGTCTGTGTAGTAAAAACTTCTGTATCATGTTACGTACAATATGTAGTGTTAAGTACTGGATCTGTTTCACGCATGTTCACATATATATATACATATAGCAATTGTTTTATGAATTCTAAGCAGCGATGAAAAATTAATTTAAATATGAATAGAGAACGATCTTCTAGTGATCGTATCTATATAAGATTTGAGTTTATCTGAAAAGAAAAGAGTATAATAGGAACCAATAAATAGTTGTTTGTGAACGTTTATTTGAGAGTCGCCATGAAACACTAATCAATCCTGCTTTAGTCTAAACAATAGTAACTTTAAAATCAACCGAAGTACATAAATATATTTTGTATCGAATGAAAAACACAGCAATGTATATTTGAAAAATTTTTATATTTTTTTCCTTTCATTTTAAATTGCTTCTTCTACATATAGTGTTACTGATTATTAAGAAGTGAGCGTTGAGCATAGAAAGAAAAGAAGAATACTTTGTGAATGTATGATACTTACAATTTTCTTATAAATTAACTTATGATTGATATTCTGGTATCGTATTTTTCCTTTTTGTATTGACAGATCATAAATATATCTATTTCAAAATAATTGAGCATTATGTTATAGTATCAGTAGCGTCTACCTAAACATTCATACTCTTATAGTTGCGTTCAGTTACAGACAATTATTTGTCTAAGTTAGTTTTTGAACATTTATGAATTTTGTGCATTAGATTTTCATAATACTTTTACTATGCAGTCAATTATGATATAATTATGAATTATCAATAGTAAATTTGTTGATATATGAAGAACTGAAAATGTCTAGTGTACTAAACGAAGCTATTCCTAGAATATGTTTGATATACTATTATAATTATAAAAATTATAAAAAAGAAATAAATTTTCGAAAGAAAAGCACACAAAATATTTTATCGATTACAATTATTCATAGAGAAAGAGTGACGACCATTATGAAACATATTAATTTTATGAAATTCATGTAAAACTTCCCCCATAATAAAAGACCACTCCATATTAGAAGACCCTCCCATAATAGAAGATCCCGTGTTTATTAATTAATTTTTTGCTAATTAGTGACTTTAGTTAGTGAATTTCTAAGAAAATATACTAGTTTCGCAGGGTTTTAAATCCTTAGCCGTATTACAATGAGTCCAGAATCATCAACAAACGTTTAAACTCCTCAAAAAACCTATACTTTTCATAAAATACGCATCAGTTTTCTGAAAGCCTG